GGTGAGAGTGTATCTGAAGACCAGCATGGCGGGTGCCGTGGACTAGGCGAGCTAATCTGCCGTTTAAATGTTCGTACCCAAAACAGCTTGAGACCCAGAGAGGTCCCTGAGTTAGAGTCACATCTGGTAGGTGATTTAGACAATGAATATTAAATGACATATTGCGTATACCAAAAAGAACTTCAAAATCACTCACAAAAGATTGGAGTAAAGATCTTGCCAACTCAATATCAAGTAGTGACACACTGGCCTGGTTAAGAAGGGCAATTGCACACACAAGTTTTTGGAAATGTTCAAAGTAAACTGGAGTCATATAATTTTTTAACACAGGTAGAGCGGTACTAAACAGCCAAGTCCTGAACTCAGCAGCTTTGAAATATTTAACATTTAACAGAGAGCGTGTGGGCCTTGACATGTAATGAGGAACTTGAATTTTACATAATATTTCACTCTGTGTTTCTAATAAACGCTTCTTTTCTGCATTCTCGCCAAAAACCTGCTTAATGAAGTCTGAGCTAAACCAAACAAAGAAAATTTGACGACAGACACCAAGGTACACATTGTGCATTATATCAACAGCGGTCGATACCAAAAAGAAATTCCAGACTATTTTGAACAGGTAGGTAGGACCTTTAACACCACAGACAGCATCTTTACCCCCTGTAGCTCTCAGAGTCTTCAAATTGTCAGTATAACCTTCAAGAGTACGCTTTTCTGCATTTTCCCCAGACGGATATGTGAACACTTTACCTTCCCTATAATATACTCCTTTAGCAAGACACCGAGGACAGCCATAGAACCCATTAAAATTAGTCATTTTCATAAATGCTGATTTTGCCAACGCATCACATGTACCACACAATACAATTACCTTGACATTTACAGGGGTTTCACAATTAGCTACATTAACATCTACACCCTGGGCTAAGATCTCAGTTTCCTGGCAGATAGGTTTTAAAAACAGATTGCAAGCAGGCTTTTCACTTCCAAAGGCTATACCACCTAAAATCATGTACTCTTCCTTAAATCTGAGGTGTGGCGGTAGCTCATTGATTGTGAAATAAAAGGGCCAAATTTGAAAATTACTAGAGTTAAAAATGGAAAGTCCATCAGTATTCCAAGCCAAAGATGTATTATAAGGATGGGATAAAATATGACTTGCCGATTTATACAACTCTCCATCATAAATATCCTCTAGATTGTTTTCTACAATTTTTTTTCTATTGAACCGATAGGAAAGAGACTCTACAACTGTTGGATTGGAGTACAATGCCCTAATCTGAGGAATAATTGGAAGGTGGAGATAATAATTGACCTTTCCTCGACCGCGACATCTTTGACAGACTGAGTCCTTATTCTCTAATGATCTCATGCAGGAGGAACAATAATAGATATAATTAGCTGGAGTCTTTAAATGTTTAAAATATTGAAACAAGCAGGCCCGCCCTTCCGCCAAACG